TGTTTTCTCGTCTCTCCAAATTGAATTTTGAAATGTCCCATTTTCATCCCTGGGGGAGAGGGGCATGGCAGTACCATCCTTTAAATATTATTTTTATTCTGAATCAATATAACCCCTAATTAATGCGTGCCGCCCAAAATATTAAGCTAGACGGAAAGATATTGAAATTTAATATATGGAGAACCTCCGATAAACACTGTAGTGGCACATTCTGGCATCGACAGATTTGGTAGAGGAAAAACAGATATGAAATACCCAAAATCACTTATAGTTCTCAAAGCATACAACAAAACAATTACTCAAGGTGCAATTTCTAAAATGTCTTTCATTCCCTCCATTTCCTTTAGCCTGGCTCTGCCAGACCCTTGTAGTTCCGCCATGCCCCACCAGAGGCGTTTGGCGGAACCACATGGGTCTGGTATCGACGCCATAGCAAACGCCTTCCCCAGATTATTTTTTAATCGACCAATCAGGATTGCCGGTGTTACGTGGGGCTTGCACTAGCCTGACTCTTGCCAGACACACATGAGTCTGGTACTGAGCCATAGCGGTTGGATTTCAGAAGGCAGGGCCTTGTAAAAAAAATCCTTGTATGTGATTGGATAGACCAGTGACATCCGTGTCTTAATTCGATCGTATTTACTCTTTTAAAAAGATTCGCGGACTTTACGTCCGCCATCTTGGATTCCTCTCGCTGCTGCATGAGAGAAGCTTGAGAAGGTAGTGCAAACCCCACGTAACACCGGCAATCCTAATTGGTCGATTAAAAAATAATCTGGGGAAGGCGTTCGCTATGGCGTCGATACCAGACCCATGTGGTTCAGCCAAACGCCTTTGGTGGGGCATGGCGGAACTACAAGGGTCTGGCAGAGCCAGGCTAGGCTAGATACGATCGAATTAAGACACGGATGTCACTTTTAATGCAATTTGAGGCGAGATGTTGATGGATCTATGTTGATATATGTGTGTTTTAAGAGTCAAATGTTCCTGTAAAGTTTGGTTGAAGCACTGGTTCAGTGTTCCTGTTTACACACTATGCAGCAGGGTTGCCAGGTTTGGTGGTTCCCGCATATTTTTTTCCAAGAGACTTGTAGGTATTAAATAAACAGAAAGACAATAAACAGAATCATGATAGCCCAAGTTGATTATATTACGTTTTTAGCCAAAAAATCATTCTGAGTTATTATTATTTTTGGGGTATTCTCGCGGATTTTGGGTTGGAAAATCTTGCTGGGATTTGGCAACCTATGGGAGCCGTGTGCTTCGACGTGAGTGGTTGAAAGCAGACTTCATTCAAGATAACGGACAAGTGGTCTATCCAATCACATACAAGGATTTTTTTACAAGGCCCTGCCTTCTGAAATCCAACCGCTATGGCTCAGTACCATAGACTGTATATATTAACGGCCTATCTCCGCCGTTCTAACTAATGGGCCAAAAAATGTGCTCTACTGGAGCTATCCAAAATGGCAGCGAGTGGTCCCGCCCACAAGAAAAATGTGAAAAAACGCATCTGCGCATGCGTCAGCCGGCGCAGCTCCATTCATTTGAACGAGAGACTTCCAAAATTCACAGCAAGTAAAGTGGACCAAAAAAAATCACCCCCCTCAGCATTGACACACATGTGGAACAGAGCTTTGGGCCAAGAACCAACTTTTGGTCCATCCTGTAAAGACGTTTTTGAGAGGTCTAATTCTTCTTCTGGGTCCACCCCCATCGGCCCGGGGTTGTATTGCAACTGCAAGCATGTCAGCGCACGTCATTTTGGCCACTTTTGAGCTGGGACCCGCCCCCATTGCTCAGTACCAGACTCATGTGTGAAGTGCAGCAAACTACATGGGTCTGGCGAGAGTCAGGCTACATTCCCTTGGCCTTTCAGTCAAAAAAAAAACCATTCAACAGAATATATTAAAGAAAAATGCGAGCGAGAAAAGTATTTTACGACATCAAATTTTGATTGTCTAAAAATGTGCGAGTCCCAATGGAGATACAAACTCACATACTTGGTGAGAATTTATTTGTAAATGTTCAATGCACTTCTTTACAACTCCAAAGCTAAAGGTGCAGGGAGTGCCAGCTGTTTGAGGCAATGTGGGGCTCAGGAGGCAGATCATTGGCAATGCCCAAAGACAAAACAATTCTGGGTGGAATGTCACACTATAATGATGAATATTCTGATAATCAATATACCATTGCAGTTTACCACCCTCTTCTTGAACTATTTGGACAACTAAACCAGATATACAAACAAATATCTATTTTCTATTATGATCTGCTGCTAAAGACGATAACAAGGCAATGGATGCTCCCTGAGCCCCCCACTGTGGCAGAGTGGAGGAGTATTTTAGGTTAAATATATACAATGGAAGCAATTACCTTTTCTGACTTTAACAGACTTTTATTAGATTCTGGTCTAAATGGGTTAGATACATAAAGTGAAGGTCCAACATATGTCCATTTTCCTCTGTAAATGTGAAATTTGCTTTGAATTGTATCATAATACCTACCAAATGCATATTTTGATTTATTCTGATTTTCCTTCCTGTGCATAGTTAAAACTTAATATAGCTGTGAAAAAGAGAAAAAAAGGTTGTGGATTACAATGTATGTTTGAGGTGTTTTAAAACTGATGTATAACTAATTCACTTTCTGAAAAAAAATACATATAAAAACACCTGTTCCTGTTGAGCTGTTCATACTGCAGCATTGGTTACGTGACTGTGTTTTGACTCAGCAGAGGACCACTGGCTCATCTCATGTTCACACTGTCAGACAAATCCACAAAATGAACAGCTCCATGGCTCAAATATCACTTTTAAACAAACTAATGTGGGAAATTTCAGCCAACTTTGCGCAGGCTTCAAGCTGAGCCTTTGCCTCATTCCACTAACAAAGGCACTTTCTCACAATCTAGTCATGAAGTAAACCCAATGAACTTCATTGCAAACTGCGAGTTAAACCCCTTTTGTTTTAAAGAGCCGTATCATTACATCTGATTATTTATTTGGGGGTTAATGTTAGTTGTGAGATGAGTGATCCTAATGCATCTATAGGCTTTATGTTGAATTATTTAACTTGAGCACGATGCCAAAACAGTCTTTGACTTAAACCTGCTTTTTAAGAAATTGATCATTCCATCACATTTTTGAAAACGTGATGAAAAAGAAGTCGGAAAACATTCATGTAGACTTAAAGCTCCCTCTGACTGGAACAGTTTATCTTTATCCATCCGCTCTCTCACTTCTCTGCCTCTGTTTAAAAATGCTCTGGTACAACACCTCCAGAACCCATGCCAGTGTTATTGAGCATAGGTTATGAACCTAAATGATATTCAATGATAAATACTAGCTGTAATCACTGTTAATTATAATAGACATTATATTCACAACAATCAGTGTGTGAGTGTGTACATGTGTCCTTTGTGTTTTTCATTGTTTTCAAAGAATTCTGTTATATTTTTTGCTCTACTGTCTGCCTTACTGCATCTGTCATTTTGTGCAATTTTGAGGACCCCCTCGAAAACGAGATGAATCATCTCTAGGGGCTTATCCCCCAAACTAATAAATAAATAAACAAAAACATGTTAATGTCGTTTAGGGTGTACTCTATTGTTGTTTCCATACATACATAAGAACCACAAGGATTATGGATGGATGCACAGACTACAGTTTATGCAGAACTCATAACGTTGAGAATACTTGATAACAGCAGAGGGCGCTATTCTGAATTCACTCTGTGTATGTCTAAGATCCTTGTATGGAAGTTTGTTTGTGAAATGGTTAAAAGATCTGACAAATGTGTTTGTCAGATACAAAAGATAGACCTATGGAGTAAAAAAGATAAACCTATGGAGTATCTGAAATAATGCAGAGTACCACAGTTTGAGAATCACCCCCTTTGAGGCTATAACCTTTTGGATTAGTAAATTGTAGGCCTATACTTGATGGTGTAATTTGTAGATTCTTAGAGGATTCTCTAAAAAAGTATATATGTTCAATCGCAAAAAAAAAAAAAAAAAAGAAAGAAACGCTGCATCGGGTGATTCTGCATCATTTCTCTCCGCCTCCAACAATCGGATTTCGGTGCCTTGGATCCCGCCTCTCGAGCTCAAACTAAAATCCAACCCATGTGACTAAATTCTGGCCTGAATAGGATCCACCTGATCCGGGCCTTTTTTCTTTCTTTCTTTAATAATTTATTCAGCACAATTTGATACTTTCCCATCTTTAACATGACTTTTGAACTTTATGTCTAATTATATTATATGTTTGATAAGGAGTTCTCACATCAATACCAAAGTAGTTCCATGTTTGTAGACCCATGCTATTGGTTGTTCCCATTCTTGTCAAGTTATTTGATCCCGAACAGTGTCACATTGACCGAGTTTCTCTCATCTGACCGCGTCTCTTGTGCCTTCCCTCCGTGGGTTCGCCTCTCTCTCAGCTGTCAGTGCCTGCTTGCGTGAGATAGGTTTGGCCAACCCTTTTCCACATTCCACAATGAATGAGTTTTGTTCGGCATTGTTATTTAGGTCATTAGTGATTCTGCGTGTTTTGTGACACTTGAAAGATGTCCAATGTCCCGCTTTGGCACATCCATGTTGCTATGGAAAACAGCTCGGAGCTTGGCCATCTCTGTGCGTGTTCCCAAAGTAAATCTCGCTTTGAGGGGGGCGCAGTAGAGGGACAGTGGGTGCTGGGGTTACTCACGGTCATCGGAACAGGTCCATGGTTCACACACGCACCCTACATTAACCCTGGCCTTTCTGCGGGGTTTTGGGCTTAGGGACTTACCCCATTTGAACAAAGCAGTAGTTACAAGGCAGTGGACGGTGTTGAACTTGGGAGGTTAATTCACTGACTCCTCCCCATGACACTATTGCGTGTATTAATAATCAGACCATCGCTGCCTCCACTTTAAAGTGGGAGGTGTGTCGTGCCGGCCAAGACAGGAGCTGTCTCCATTCAGTGGTGCTGAAAGTGCCACTGGACATTATGACTATGTGGTCGGTCCTGCTTGTCTTTTTGTCCTCTTTGGACAGAAACCTGGTCAAAGGAGGCTTAGTAAGCAGCGCACTGGACGCAAAGAAACTGAACAAAGAGACCTTTTGCTTCAAAGTTTCGTCTCTTGAAGGAAATGTTCTCTATGAAGTATCTAATGGGGTGGAAGTGGTGCGCTCACTGATGAGCGCTGCGGGTTCGCTCGTAGACTGCTCCATCAGTGAGGCTCCAGAGCAGGTGGCGGCTTTTACGCGTGAGTGCAAGACTGGACAAGGAGAAACCACGACGGAGAAGCCGGTTCCTGCGCCTTATGGTGAAACAAAGCTGCAATGCGAGCGATACCAGCAAAGCGCAGAACTTTCAGATAAGGACCAAGTGCATAAACGCACCAGGCGAGGCTTCACATATCCCGGGACACTGTGGTGTGGAGCAGGGAACATGGCTGACAACTACAACCAACTAGGTACAGTATATTTATATAGTAATAATTATATACATATTGTTTTAATACAATAATAACAGACACATGGAAGCCTTTGGTCCATAGGAAGCAGGGTGACCTATGTCCATAAATTTATTCCACGCAACATGAAAACAGACTAAGCAACGCACACTGATTATAGTCTGAATTTCGCAGGGGATTTTGCCGACACAGATAGCTGCTGTCGAACCCATGACCACTGCCCTCACGTTATCCATGCCTTTTCCTCCAACTTTGGCTACACAAACTTCAAATGGCACTCCATCAGTCACTGTGACTGTGATGAAGCGTAAGTGTGTTCTTTTTTTTAATGATATGGGCCTTATTATAATTTATTTATAAGTTATGTGAACCATCAAAACCATATTTGTTTATTCACATTTCTTTTACAGGCTCAAAGCATGTCTAAGGAAAGTCAACGACACATCTTCCAGAGTTGTTGGACAAGCTTTCTTCAATGTGATTGAAGCGCCCTGCTTTAACTTGGCGTATGAAGAGCAATGTGTTGAGCGCCACTGGTATGGCCTGTAAGTATTACAGATGTAATCTCATTTGGAACATACTTTAGTGGGATTACATAGAAACATTTCTCTGTGTGTCATAGATGTAAACGGTTTGAGAAGCGGCCAATTGCAATGCTCATAGACGCTGTCCCATATGACTTTGGAGGCATTGATGTCATTGATGAGCTGACCGTGGCTCCCTCTCGGGAAAAAGAGTCCAATAAAAGTGGAGAGCAGGTGCAACCTGAGCCGAGCTCTCAGTCTCCAGTGACCAGCAGCTCTGAAGAGCCCTCCCTGAAAAACGTGATGACTGCTGCCGAGGACTTCATAAAAGTCTTGGCCACTGTGTCTACTTCACAGAGCTCCACAGAAGACAAAGATGCACAGAGTACAGAAAAGAAGAAGAAAAAGACTTCACAAAAGAAAAAGAAAACTAAAAAGCCAAAAGGAAAGGGTAAGAAGAAGAAGCAGAAACAGGACACCGTTGTGAAAATGGAAGACAACAGTGCTGTTCCTCTGACCAGTCCCAAAGAGGAGGGGGCCACAAACCTGAGTAACTTCCTCAGTAAGTCTCAGATGGGAAGAGCGTCCAGCAAAGTGAGTGAAAATAAATATGAGCTGAGACCCACAGAAGAAGCATCTAATGAAGTCATGAAAGATGAGCCAGCGGATGAGGAGAGCTTTTCTGTTACACTACACACACCTGTCAAAAGGAAACATACAAAAAAGACTCTTCTCTCCACAGTGTCTGGAAGTAGTTCACACAAACCAAAAACAAAAATTTTGCGGAATAAACAGAGGAAAGTTAAAACTGTTCCTAGATTTCAACAAGAAACCACATCTTCAACATCACAGCCACAGGAACAAGGGACCATGAGCACACCCGAAAGACCACACACTCTGAACACACGTCCCAATGACAACAATAATGTCAAAAGAAACAGGTCAAAGTTGTGGAAAGACAGGAAGGAAAGGAAGAAAAGATTGAAAGTGGTGGATGAACATGTTGAGGACAATTTAAAAGAGGGAAATACCTTTGTGACAATAAGCACAAGAGTGCAACAGCTATCTCAAGAGGCAGATGAAGGCAGGGTCCAAGTTACGCCTCTTACCCCCCCAGTCAGTGTCCTAAAAAGAGAAAGACACAGATCAAAGGACAAAAGGATATCAAAGAAAAAGAAGAGAGGCCAGTCTCCTTTAACTGAACATTTATCTGAACCCATGGCAGAAGAGGCTCTTCTTCCCAATCCCAGTGGAACCCAGACCAGTTCCTCCAGTGTCACTGCAATAAGCTCATTCATGGATGACACCCAAACAACCTCCAAATGGCAGCTTTTTACTACAACATACATACCCACTGTCAACACCAAGAGACATCGCAACAAAAAACATGGAAAATCAAAGAATAATCCCCAATATGCTGCTGTAAGTGATCGCAGACCATTGATGTTTACAAACCCGCCATCCAAACCAACTGCTGTCCAATTCATGACTATTGCTAACTCTCGGCCACTTCTGCCCACAACAACCTCCGCAAACAGCCTCAGCGCTCTGAGCCCCATGCAGCTCACTATAGAAAGAGTAAGAGAGCAATTTGAAAGAAAGAGAAAAAGGAAATTGGCGTCGTCTGTGCGACAGTAAACAATAGTGTGCTTTTTCTTAAGAGGATTAAATCTTTTAAAATTTGCAAATTTTTCTTCATGACTTTTCTCCAACAATCATGCTTTCAATGCTGTAATCTTGCATGTCTATAATAAATGTGCTATTGCAAAATGACTCTTATTGCAAATGTTCATATCAATATATTAAATATATACAGATTGTACAGTTAATAGTTGTACACAGGCCTTTTCTCTCATAAAAAGGTTGGTTGGGTAAGCACTCACTGAAGTTAAAGCACGGGTACCTAACTTTCCAACCAAAACAATTTAACTATGTAGCAAAATCCATCTCAGTACAGTCTCAAATCAGATTGATTCTATCACTAGTTTTCAAATTCATGTATTTTTTGGCCTTTTCAGTCACTCACAGGGCTCTTTCTTAGAAGTATGCAAAACATTGAGATGAAGACAACATTTTCTGGAATGATTTGTTCATTTGTGGAACATTTTACTTTTACTGTGTGCGCAAACAAAATGTATTAATAATGAAATAAAAAAAGGTAGATCTCCCCGGTTTTAGTAAGTAATACCTTTGGCTCGTTCTTATGGTGTATAAAGCGAATTAATTAGCATATACTTAAGCCCGTATTAGCCCGCGTTATCTGCTTTGGAATTAATATGGGTTTAGGGTTTACGGTGCTCCTTTTCACCTTGTCACATTCTTGTCACATTCTCTCCATAGATTAAGGGGGCTCACTTCTTGGCTCTCAGCCCTAAAGCCCCAAAGAGCCAGCTAAAATCCTTAATGTCAGCTGATTTTAACGTAATCATGTGAACAGACACAATAAATGTTCCATGATAAGATTTTGCAGCTTACCTTGAAAAAGTCAAGACAATAACATGTCTCGTTTTATTATGCATGGTTGTGGGAACAGTAACAATGAAGACTTTCAGCTCAAGAGTTTTGGACAGAAATCAAGTTTTCAAAAGAGCTCAGTATTCACACACATTTAAGCCATAACAGCAGAGCGGCTCACACAGCTGGGTGTGAGAACAAATCTCTTTTCACATAATCAAAGAGGTGGGAACTTTCCATTTGATCCATTTCAACCTCTGCACACATGGTGGGCGTGTTAATATCCATATCCTGTAGGTTAAGGCAAGGCAAGTTTATTTGTATAGCACAATTCATACACAAGGCAACTCAAAGTGCTGAACAAGATAGCATTAAAATCATAAATAATCACAGAACATTAAAAAGAAAGATAAAAATATAAAATCCCTCAGTTGTATGCACAGCTAAACAGAACTGTTTTTGACCTGGTTTTAAACATTGTCAGAGAGGAGGCCTGTCTCACATCTTCAGGAAGACTGTTCCAGATTTTAGCAGCATGAATATGAAAAGTAGCCTCCCCATGTTTAGTTCTGACTCTGGGCACTAACAGGAGTCCAGTCCCTGTGCTCCTCAGAGTCCGGGCTGGTTCATATGGGACTAACATGTCACTAATATATTTTGGTGCGAGGCCATGGAGAGACTTGTACACAAGCAGAGCTGTTTTAAAGTCTATTCTCTGAGCCACAGGAAGCCAGTGCAGAGACCTGAGGACTGGACTAATGTGGTCGTACTTCCTGGTTCTAGTCAGGACTCGAGCTGCGGTTAATAGGCTGGTTTTATTATATGGTTTTAAGTGTAAGCGTAAATCTGATAACATGGATGTATTTGAGGCACAGGCACAAGCTGAGGACTTTCCAGAGAAAAGTTGTTAGAGTATACACTAAACTATCAAAATTACCATTGTTCACATAAACCGTGATGCAACTCTAATCTAATGCTATTTATTTGTGTATTTCACACCTAAGCATCTTACATTGGTAAGAAAAAATACCTTCAGTAATTCAATCCCTTTAAAGAAGAAATATTTGAATATCTGAATCTGTAATTTTACCAGATAAAAATATAATTTAGGAGCCATACTATTGACAATTGTATTTGCTATAGAAGCCTTCTATATCTCCTTTAATAAAAGAGACATGCACAATAGGTAAAATCCTCCAGCTCCAGTGGTCCTGACCAGTCCTGATGGGAGGCTGTACTACAGTGACCTCCTGACAGAGGCCCGAGTGGCATTACAACACGGGTCAAACGCAGAGGGAAAATTGGGACTATAAAGTCAAACTTAACTTAACCATCTATTAAACATATTGGGGTACACAAAATGTTATGAAAGGGTAAACAAATATATATTTCTCAAGATATAATTGATAAGCCGAGAATCAGCTACCTCTGCACCACAAATGATGATCTGACCATTCTCCGTATGGGGGAGGGGTGAGAGTCACATTCTTGTTCAAAGATGGCAACTATGCAGTTTCTTCACAAGGGATTTAATCAATTTGATCACGGATCATGAATGGGAATTACCTTCCTGTGAATACCTATGGAAGAAGTATTCAATAATTTATCAAAGCGGAACTATTTTTATTAATCAAGGAAAACAACGCACACAATTCCAATAAACCCAGGCGACAGTGATGTATTAGGTTGACTCTGTTTAAGATGGCCGTGGCACAGTTAAGGGATTTCTTAAGGGGAAGAAAGGAATGTTAAAGCGGCACGATGTTAGCCTCATGTATCAGGCCAAACTGTTGTGACCTTAGGCAAGACACTTCACCACATTGGGACATTGTATGAGACATGAATGTTTTGTGGTGGTTTGGAGGGGCTGTTGGCACAGATTATTTGCCAAGCTTCTATCAATGAATAATAACGTTGAAACTCATGGATTTATTATTAATATTTTAAAATTCCTGGATCCAGACGGTGATTTGGATTACCTCCAAAATCAAATTTGTTCCTTGTCCCATTTCTGAGGTTTTCTGGAAATTCCGTCAAAATGTAGCTATAACCATTTGAGTTATGTTGGTAACTGGTAATTAGATCAGCAGCATGGGCAGGTTGGTGCAGGAATGTGAGCTCTACAAAGGCAGTGGGTGGGTTGGCAACAAAACTCTAACCGTTTTTTTTTCTCTGGGAAACTGATGATAGCCTTTTGTGAATCATTTTATTTTTGTGATAAAAATATCCCATGCCTCCATATTGAAAGTGTGGGGTATGTTTTAGGTTTTGGACTGAACTGTAATTAAAGTCAAGGACAAAGTCTTAAAATTATCTTTTCATAAATAACAGTGAAGCTAGAGCAGATTATCAGGACATTGTCAAGGAAAAATGACGAAAGGGAAGGCAAAAAACACCGCTAGTTTTATCTTTCAGAATGCTGATAGGTCTATATCAATACCAAGTGATACAGTATTTTGATAGAAAGAACTATAATAAAAAAGTACTAAACACAAATAATTCAGGACAGTGCTGCTTGTCTAACGTCTAAACAAAGAATATTTGTTCAGACGTTATTTGACTTTTCACTGTTTTTATGATGAAATTACAAAAGGGCGTGTGTCATTAATTATAAGGGCAATTCTGATTATGCTTATAGAAATATTATAGATTGAATAACCAATATGGCATTAACATAGAATAGAATAGAAAATGAAATGATTGATAATAGCATGTGATAAAGCTCTGGTTCTATGAAGCCACTTTCTATGAAGGTGAGGAAAGATTTGTGCTTGCATTTTGACTCTAAGATCTTCTTGGGAGAAATACATATTGTATGCTATAATCGATATTATTGGAGATCTATACTCCGCAGTTTATATGTTCATAATGTCAAGACGGCAATCAACGTCCAATACACAATAGCACCATCTTGTGGATACCTTTTGTATTAGTCAGTTTTCCCTAAACCATATTTTCTCTGATTTTCTGTGAGGCAAGAAGATATTTGGGAAACTGCATGACCTGGACACTGGGGATGTTAGAGACATCTTGCTTTGATATTGGGTTAAAACTCTTCAAATAAAACCTTATAGACTATAAAAGGCTGAATCAAAAGTGAGAAAAGAACACTGGAACAAAGTTAAATAAAACAAATATCTGAAGACTTTACCTTGAGAACTATAAGTAGGCAGGCTGGTCCATGTTCTTTATCAGGTTTTTTAACACAGTCCACAGTAACTTCAGTCTTCACTCCTCAAAGAGAAACACTATAGAAATAAATACATGTTTGTGTATCGATTGAGTATTGTAATTGCTTAGTGAAAAACTGTAATACACAAAGTATCAGGCTACATTAATAATTTGAGTGCAATAGTAATTTGAGAAACAATGTGTCAATATTCATTAATAGGATTGTAATATACATTAAATATATTTGTGTCCCAGTAATTAGTAGTACATACTATAATTTGAGTATCATGGCCAACAGTGTGAAAAGTAAAAGAACATAATCTCCCTTCTATTTATTCAACACACAATTAAAAATTAATAATCCAGTAACTAGATATCAACCATAAGCCACTAATCCGACTGTTTCAATATTATAATGTTTGATTGGCGACAGTGACCACCACAAGACTTTGTCCGCCGACTCCCACTGATGTCTGCTGTCGTTGGGTCTTTGGCAAGACACTTAACCTCTGGGGAACACCAGATGGCTGTAAAGTAGGCAAGGCACTTCACCCACATTGCCGAGTGTCTGTGTGTGTGAATGGTTGGTAGTGGTCGGAGGGGCCGATGGCACATACTGGTTGCCTTGCTTCAGTCAGTGTGCCCTAGGGCAGCTGTGGCTGCAGTAGTTTATCACCACCGTGTATGGAGTAAATTAATACTGACATGTGAAGCGTCTTTGAGTGCACAAAAAGCACCATGCATTATTGTTTTTGCTCGAGAGATGTCAAATTCTGCACTTTGAGCCTTAATTTCACCCCCTGAACATGCATGAAAAGTTGTAAAATTTTGCCCATAAATTTCACCGCAAAATGGAAAAATGAACAGCAAAAGTTTTCATACATGTCGGCCGTTTCACCGATTTGCCTCAAAATTGCTCCACATCGTCTCAACACATGTACCTTCAAAATGACCCCAGGGATTTTTGATCAGTGAAACTTTGTATGAGCAGCGGAGCGGCAAAATGTGAGGTTTTTTTGGCCGTTTTTGACACTATTAAATTTGCTCCCGTTTGCACATACAAAGTCTGATTTGCACAAAACTTGAATACATTGTTCAACTCTAGGGTTTAGGTCATTTGAAAGTGAATTAAATGAACTTGGCTCAATAGCGCCCCCTACAGATGGGGTCAAAGTTTTTAGTATGGGAGCGTTTCGAGGTCAAGTTTGCTGTATAGGCATGAAATTTGGTACACATGTTCCTCATCTCAAGACCTGAAATAAAAGTTATTATGGCCCCGCCCCCTGATAAACAGGAAGTCCATAAATTTCACTTCAAAATGGACAAATGAAATATGATCCTTTTCACACGTGTCGGTTGGAAAGCGACTCCTCCTCGGCCGTTTCACCGATTTGCGTCAAAATCACTCCACATCGTCTAAACACATGTACCTTCAAAATGACTTCAGGGATTTTTGACCCATTAGCGCCCCCTACAGATTGAGTCAAAGTTTACATGGGGAGCCAAACCAGCTGTACTTATCATATTCATTACGATTTGACTAACAATCTTCTATGGCTACGGGAGCAAATCATCACACGGCGGCGCCACCTCCTTTGCGCGGTGCTGCGTGGTACGGTGTGGTGCGACGTAGTGCGGGGCGTTGTGGAGCAGCGCATTGCGGCTTGGGGCGGCGTGGTGCGGGGTGGTGTGCGCTGTGCGGGGAGTGCATGCGGTGCGGAGGTTGCGCGGTGTGGCGAGGGCCGTTTGATGCCGCTTGCGGCTTTAATTATTATTGATTCAATATTAATAGAAGTTTAAATTGTTGCCAAGCCAGTGCAACAGAAACAGACTTCATACAAGCTGTATAATGTGTGAATGAGGGTAATGCATTTTATTAGGCCCGAGCCCCGAACGGGGAAAGGGCCTATTATTTTTGCGCGAGAGATGTCAAATTCTGCACTTTGAGCCTTAATTTCACCCCCTGAACATGCATGAAAAGTTGTTAAATTTTGCCCAAACATCAGACCTGGTGAAAAATTTGATATTTTGGTGTTTATTTTTATGGGACTCAAAAAATGCCAGAACAGCGCCACCTACAACAGCCAATGGGAGTTTCAGAGGTCAAGTTTGTCGTAGAGCCATGAAATTCGGTACACATGTTCCTCAAGTCAAGATACGACCAAAATGTTATCATGGCTCCGCCCTCTGACAAACAGGAAGCCCATAAATTTCACTGCAAAATGGAAACATGAAAACCAATCATTTTCATACATGTCGGCGGGAAAGCGACTCCTCCTTGGCCGTTTCACCGATTGGCATCAAAATTGCTCCAAATTATCTCAACACATGTACCTTCAAAATAACTTCAGGGATTTTTGACCAGTGAAACGTTGTTTGAGCAGCCGAGCGGCAAAATGTGAGGTTTTTTTGGCCGTTTTTGACATAAATTTTTTTCCCGTTTGCACATAAAGTCTGATTTGCGTTTAACTTGAATCCATTGTTCAACACCAGGGTTTATGTCAGGTGAAAAGGGAAATATTTAAAATTGGCCCATTAGCGCCCCCTACAGACTGATTCAAAGTTTACATGGGGAGCCAAACCAGCTCTACTTATCATATTCATTACAATTTGACTAACATTCTTCTATGGCTACGGTAACAAATAATCACACGGCGGCGCCACCTCCTTTGCGCGGTGCTGCGTGGTACGGTGTGGTGCGGCGTAGTGCGGGGCGTTGTGGAGCGGCGCGTTGCGGCTTGATGCGGGACGGCATGGTGCGGGGCGGCGTGGTGCGGGGCGGCGTGGTGCGGGGCGGCGTGGCACCGGGTGGTGCCCGCGGTGCGGGGAGTTGCGCGGTGCGGCGAGGGCCGTTTGACGCTGCTTGCGGCTTTAATATATATATGTATCTTGTGGATTTATAAATCTGGAAGAGTGGACATAAACATATTGCAGTCCAAAGATATTGAATAAATGGAACATTGGCAGGTAACTACAGTTTCAGTTATTTACTTCTATAATAATTCATATCATCCTATTATATATGTCATATATCCTGTAAAATCAATACATCTTAAATAACTTCAGTTTAAATGTATTATCACTTTTAAAATACAACAGCGGCCTCTAGCGGCTATTCTGTGTGTAAAAAGTTGACCTAGTTTGTTTTATTTGAATCATACAAGAATCTTTGAGATTGAAAATGTGGTCCATCATGACTGTGTTTATTATCAACCGATATACCAAAATAAAGATGGAATGTCTTCATTTGCAACAATCTAAGTCATTTGTTCCACAGGGCGCATCTGAATGTCTCCAATCTGAAACAGAAGATATGTCAAAGCACGGAAATAAGTTCATAATTTAAGTTTTTAATGTTTTTAATTCAGAGGCAGACATCATACCTGCACATGGGGGGGCGCACTTAGAGCATAGGTCACAGCTTTTGCAACATCCACAGCCTCAATGCACTGTAAATTATGGAATAGAAAGATGTAATGTTACATTGTAAATAAGGGTGGAACTCAATAAGCCTTTACCTTGAACTGTGTGTAGGCTGTTGCACGTTCTTCAGGTTTCTGGGAGTAAAATCGTGAGGCAAACTCTGTCTCCACAACACCAGGGGATATTGACTGAAGAGAAATACAGATTTTAATCATGAATTATATTCAAATGACTTTTAAAATACTTTTATTCTTAACCTAGTTTTCATGACAGAGTAGTGATTATTTTAGTGGGAATAGGTCTGTTGTTAACCAACGAAATTCTGGCTGACTAAGGACATGACTGAACAATTGATAAGAGGACTGAAAAGGTAAAAAACAGTCATATCTGACCTGCCATTTTGTTCCAGCTTCATGCAAAACAACTATAGCACAAGAAAACTATGAGGTTATATTATTAGTATTGATTTGCAGCTCTTTTATATAACATCATCCTTTTCCCCATATACAATATAATTGCTTGACTAATACCTTTAATACCAAGTTAAGACTCCTTAACTTGTTCAAGAATCCCAATACAGGGTACAAGAAACAGAAGGTGCAGTTTCACGCTTCAGTGTTGATATAATCCTAGCCTGGTTGTACCCCACCATAATACATGATGATTGAGCGGAGTGTACGGATGGCTAAGGCCAGGCTAATATAATCCTAGCAACCCTATAAGATTACAACCATACAAAGTTTCAAAGCGCAAAATAAGAATACACTATGTTTCTCACTGTGGCTCTGATGTGGGACTTGGCCTCTCGCAGTTCCTGTCTCAGGCCTTCAGTGAGCGCCGTCACAGCAAACTTTGTGGCACTGTAGAAATGGACATCTGCACTGTGGACGACACGATGCCCACTCATGCTGCAATAGAACAAAATTGTATTTCATTCAAATCAATAACTTATAAAAACCAGTGGTATCCCTCTGGAGAGCTACTTCTATAAGTATTCCACACCTATCATGTAGCAAGACGTTTTAACCAGTGCAACAGTGGCTGCGCGATAAAAAGTTAGAATATCGTATTTACTTCTGGACAAAATGAAGAGAAAGAGGATTCAAATTGGTCATACATACCTGTTGATGTTCACAATGTGTCCATCATCGACATTTCTCTCTTTCATTGACTGATAAGCTTCACGAGTGCAAACACTTAAGGCAATCACATTCACCTGAGACACAGAACTTAAATAATGTGTTGAATGAAACTGATTAAAAAGTGTTATTATTATTATTCACATCTAACATGTTCTTCCAGCCACTGGTTTTGCCGTTCAGAAGTGACTCGGGATGAGCTAAGCCAGCGTTATTGATGCAGACGTCCACTCCCTGATGCTGGGATCTAATGTGTGAGAACATTGAGAGGATCTCCTCTTCGTTGGTCAGATCGCATTTATACGGCACCAACACTCCGCTGTGGCCTGCAGCCCGACACTCCTCCGACAGTGTCTGAAAACATAAAGATCAAGTACCACTTGTAGACGCCACACAGATTGAAATAACTTAGTAAGTATAATACCACATGAGCCACAGCAGCACATTACAAATACACAGCTCTATTTAAAGTATTTTTGTTTTTATTTTACCTTTTGTTGGTGAAATCATGATACAAGTGCAGACATACAACAAATACAATAAGACAACAACAAAGAATACATTTTGTACTGTACATTTATAAAGGTGTGTTTATCCCAGCAGTTTGATCCAGCCGATCAAACCAGATGAATTCTCTACATGAGGCGTTTGTAAAAGAAAGTTTTGTAGCTTCAAGCTGCATTACCTGACTTTATTTTTTCATTCATTACGAAAATTCAATCCATATCCACGCAGTGCATTGGGATACACGTCCTTTTGAAGAAAAAGTAGCGCAGAATCGTGCTGGTGAGTTTTTGTGAAACAAGGAAGAGAATGTGTTTCGGGTCCAGATTGTGACCAATCACAGCGGGCCACTGGCCCCCACTTTCTTGAGAAAAGCCACAGGTCTCTTGTTAGCACAGACTCACCTTTACCTTGTGTCTGTGTGTGAATGAACACTTGATGTAAAGTGTTTATACATTATAATCATGTGCTTATATACATTAGATCTTACCTTTATTTTCTCCACGTCCCTGGCACAACCAACCACCTTCATACCATGCAGAACGAGCTCCTTCACAACTGCAGCTCCTATCCCAACTGAGGCCCCAGTCACAAGGGCCACTCTACCTCTCCAGCGCTCCATACCTTCTAACAAACTGGTGCAGATGAATCCTGGAGACACCACAAGTTTGTATTATTGGCTCAAATGATACAAAGTCACTTCCGTCATCAGGAAACAGAAACATGTGTTTTTGTACGGGACACAAACCGTATTTGATACTTTTAATTATTATATTGCAGATGATTGCGTTGTATATAGAAGTATAAACATGTGATAGACATGATCTGCCACTAATCTGATAGTGAGACACCATGGAGTGACGCAGACCCAGATTGGTCACAGAATAAACACACATTGAATAAAAAACACATGTAGGCGGTTAGATGTTAAACAATAACTCAACACCAAACATGTTTTAGAACAACTCTAAACTAACGAAATACGATTATGCAAACACGGTTAGCCCCTGGTGGTCACTGGTCGAAAGGGAAAGTAGCTTAAAAGTTGTTGTTTCTCGAGGGAACTATCAAAAACACCACAGACCCACCTGACCAGGATCAGAGCAGCGTGAACAGGACGTGCACAACCTGTGACCAGCACGTACATGACGTCATCGTGAGACGTTCAAACGCAATGTGAATAATACAGTTTTAAACATTGGAAATATAACAAAAGAACCAGAAACGAATCTAATATTAAGCACATCCTCTGTCTATGAGAAGCAATGAATCCATATGTGTCTGCACAGTGCACACGATATGTTTTTTCATATGAATTAGCCATCCGTGCTTCCCCACGTCACATGTGTGGTTGTGGTACACATCTGGGCAACAACAATTTCATGTTATGTTAGATTAATGTACAAACACAATGTTGGCTAATATGCAAACACTTTCGAACCTCTGAGTTCTCTTTGAGTCCTCACACGAACCCCGACGCCATACGTCCATGAGACAACTAACTAAACTGTCGACTAGATTCGAGTGCACAGTGCTGTCAATTACGTATACATCCTAATAATTATGAATTTCCATATACCACATGTCCATAAATATCTTTTATTATCATATTATACATCTGTCAGCTCTAGTAATGACTAATACTCCATGCATACTAACTCAATATAAACATGATCACATCTATTGTATCTTGTCTGAGTTATGATGGGAAATGCAGTCTCATTTATTATGATTTATTTATTAGCAGGCAATGTAGTTCCTGCGAGGACCCCTACTGACGTCATGTAGCTCAATTGCTTGCTTGCAATTGACGTCACGTCCGCCTCATTACATATGCGTATCACGAAGTGGTGGTCAGCCGAGATAGTTGTTCACTAGAGCAGCGTGTCTGAATCTGCCTTTTGTATGTGTTGTTTTAAGTTTTCTAACCGATCGAATCGTGAAACCTTTAATGGATACTTTAGGATTCCTCGTGAAGAGATTAAAAAAGAGCCTCGCACTAAAGACTTTACGAAAAGACGTAGGAAAAGTGGCTCGCTAACATTTCACTAGCAAACGCTTTTACCTCGAAGGATTAATTATTTACCCAGCCATGAAGTCACAATGCACAGTTATTACATCCTCATCTTTATTTCATTCATTGTCAGGTAGGAGTTGGCGTTTTAAATAAACACTGTGAATGTTTGACCTGAAAAGAACACAGCCACAGACGCATTGTTTTGTTGAGAATGATAAGTTCATACCAATCCTTACTTACACGGCTCGTAACGATGCAGGATTTGTCCTTCAGGACCTTAACTCTGAGTTCCTTAACCCACAGACAAACGGAAAAGTTGCAGTATCCGTTGTTGGAATATTAACTCTTGCACCAGTTAAAACTAAAAACAGTTTAGTATTGTTTCTATTGCCAAATTAGCACTTGTTTGTGTAAATCTCAAAGAGCAGTGAGTTCAAGGTTAGTCTGAAATGGGAGGGGGACAAGAGGGAGACAAGTGTGGTTATCAGAGCAGGTGCAAACGTTGGCAGCTGGCCAGAAGGAGTCGTGGAGTCCATACAGTTGTGATGTCATTGACCTTGGATGTAAGGTATAAATGTATGTGCAGGAGTGGTCACGAGAGACTTTTTGCTTTTTCGTCTGACAAGGAGCAGTGAGACGTCCCCGGGGGCCACTCCTTATCTGAACGCGAAGCGAGATCTGTTCGCGGACCGTTATCTTGTAATATTGCTTGCAAAATCTTCAATATAACCTTTTTGAAATCAGGTTTGGTATCTGTCATTTCTATCACTGTCTTAACATTGGTTTTTGTCTCTTGTTGAACTAAAAGGACCTGCAGAACGAAGGGCTGTGTTTGCGGCCTCTCTGCAGCTTCTGGGGCGGGGGAATTCTGACAAATTACTGCAGAACTTGGCGTCGCTCGAACAGGATTTCGACAGGAGACACTAGGACCGGTCAGAGAAAAGATTAATTTGGCGCCAAAGTAAAACGGTAAGATTGTTACCAACTAATTAATCTTTCCTTTCACCTGACCTGAGACCTAAAAATAAAAAATAAAAACAAACAAACACCAAGTAGGGTAAATATTGAAGGATTTGCAAGTATTTTATATTTTATTGGGATAATAGTATTCTAAGTCTAAGTGACGTAAGAAAAGGAGAAAACTGTGTGTTTTATCTCAGTGATTGATAGTTAACCTAAAGGAAAGAAAACTGTGTGTGAGGATCTAAGTGATTTATGAGTTAAGGAGTCAACTGTGTGTTATCTCAGTGATTTAAATAGTTGAAGGAGAAAACTGTGTGTTTTAATTAATTGACGAGAGGGAGAGGACAGGGAAAGTGTCTAACTTTTCTCACTTTTAATTTTTCTCTTGGTGTGAATGAGTGATTGATGTCGTCTGAGGAAGTGACCATTGCACAAACGGTCACAGTGAACGCAGTAACTTGGGTCGCGTAGGACGGGGTCACGATTCGTGCGTACATTTCCCCACCACTTGTGGTCGAACGGGGAGATACCACGATCTGACGCTCTAAGATTACGCACCCAATTGCTGATTTTTTACATTGATATTGATAACACAAGGCTTGTAATCTAGACGGTAGAAAACATGGCATCTGTAACATTAGATGAGTGGATAAAGGGGATTATGATATTCTAATCTCAGGAGTATCTGAAGAGGCATGTACAGAAATCACTATGAAAGTACTTAGAGTAGTGGCAGAAAAGGGATTCAAAATTGATTATGACAAGTGTGCATTTGTAAGACAGAGAGTATCGTTTCTAAAGACTTATCTCACTTCAGAAGGAGTCATGTGTGACCAGTCAAGACTGATCAAACTATCAGAGTTTCCCAAACCAAAAACAGTGAGAGAAATGATGTCCTTCATAAATACGGCAAGCTATATCAGGAAATATATTTTCAACTTCTCCTACATGATGAAGCCCTTGCAGAAAATGTTGATTGATGTAGGCTACACAGATTATGATGGGATCTTGACATGGACTGAGGAGCAAGCACAGGCATTTCAATCAATCAAAGAAAACTATCAATGGTGCAGACTTTACACTGCGTTGATAGGAAATACCCAATTATGATGGAAATCACAATGACTGGAGATTATTATTGTGCAGTGTTGTTTCAGAAAATAGCAGATGCACCCAAAATATTGTACATATTCAGCTCCAATCTCAGAGGATCAGAAGCACACCACTTCTCATGTGCACGTTATGTAATGGCCCTTAACACTAGGAGCGCCCCTAGCGGTCAACTGACCGTCACTCACTTTATTATGCTAATTAGTGTATTCAAAACAAAACGCCAGAAGTTGAGATTTTATGACTTTTACTGGGTACTTGTTGTTTATATTTTGGTGTGTTTTGGTTTTGGAAAAAGTAAAGAAAACAAGATTTACACGCATTTTTAACTTTTCTAAACCACAGCCCTTTCTGCTGCCCCATAGAGATACATGGCGCAGGGGCGACTGTTGTCATAGTAACCTTTCCCGGGGGTTTTTCGCGCCTTATAAAAATGTATCAATATGTTGTCATTAGACTCTAAAGGGACTTTTTTATTATTATTTGGGAGAGAGAGGAGTACAAAATGAATAGAGCTGCAAGTACACGGTATGAAGCCCTGACAGTGCTTCAAAACATTGAATGAGAACAGTCTGACGGAGGTGAGATGTCACATTTTGAGGTAGAAAGTGACAGCGGGGAGAACACCTATAATATTCTAAATCTGAACGTAAACCCATAGTGCCTTCACGGCACGGGCAGCAGTGTTGTAACAAGTCCAGAAGCAATAACTCACATGACCCTCGTAATGCCAGCCATACGCAGTGTCTGTGTGCGCGCTGTCGCTCCATTCTGCCTTTTCATTCATCATCAATTACATTATTATATTTATACATACAAGAAGGCAATAAAGCAGAATACAATATCGCAATAAAATAGAACAATTAGATGAACTATCAAGGCAGAGTGCAGATCAGAGTGCTCGTCACCCGCGGACACTGCAGGAGGAGAGCGACTGTGGCAGAGGCGGCCCTCATATATCAATAAGGATATAATTCTGATTTCATCCAGATAACACTGTGTGTTATTCTGCACAGCGCGCACTGCAAGGCAATGATTATAATTTTGTTCTGAGCATAAAGAGCACTGCTTGTCTCAAATAAATACAAATATATATATGCATATATTTGTCTTTCTAACGTGTCCCGTGTAAAATTGAAGATTTTAAATTGACGATGGTAGCCATAGCTGATGATCTTGTGTCAATACGAATACTATTATTATTATCTAGATAATATTTCCCACGGTGATTTCGGCCTCTAAAGAGAAAACAGTCTGGAGATGACGTAAGAAGTAGACGCATATAGCAGCGCGAAGACGTTATGGTCCCGTGCTTTTCTAAACTATAATTTATATTGTTTGAATTTACATATTGTTACTGAGTCAAATATAACATATAGTGACCAACCTTTTAGGTGTTTGCAAAGTTACAAAAATAAATCTAGCCAGAAAAGTCATCGTAATTTTGATGGATCAGTACACGCACAATGTGTCGTCTTAGTCTTTTATTTCGGCTAGAATTACAATTACTTAGCATATTTAGACAAATAATT